CCAAATCCCTGTAAATGTTCATTAAAACTAATAAAATTTAATAATAATAAAAAAAAAGAAGTATTGTTCATAGGGTTGCTATGAGTTGTATTCTTGACTTGATGGCACCTAACAACACTACCACCACACAAAAATGTATTAATTTTATTCTTTAGGGAATTTTTTGTTTGTGTAGTTAGTGCTTGGCTTCATAGAATTTTTAATAATTGGTCCAAATTTCATAGAAGTTTGTTAAGCAGCTAAAATGATGCAACTTTAATAATAGTCCCTATGATTTTTCTTTTTCATTTATTTTAACTCTTTATTAACAATTTCTTACCTGCATCCACTGTCTTCTGCTTTCTAGCGTCTTTTTTAATATTTTTTTTCTAACTTGAAAAGTTTGGTTAATTTGCTTAATTTCAAAGTTTTTCATATATTTTGGGCCATGAGTGTATTTATAAATATTACCTCTGCTGACTGCCACACATTTTGTAGATGTTTTCTTTGTCATTGACATTAAAAGAATTAAAGAATCCCATGTTTTCTTCTCTATATGTTTTTAAACCATATGTTTTGAAATAGTATTTGTTGGGGAGCTCTGGCAAGAAGCCTAGTGGCAAGAAGCTGCACTGCAATCCTAGAGGTGGTGGTGGTTGTTATGTGCCGTCAAGTCACCTGTGACTCATAGCAACCCTATGTACAACAGCCCTAAACCCTGCTCTATCCTGTGCCAATCGCCTTGCTTCTGACACACCCATCCCGATTATTCCAGTCACTGAATCAGTCTACCTCATAGAGGGTCTTCCCCTCCTGCACCGTCCTTCCACCCTCCCAAGCATGACATCCCTCTCCGAGGACCTGTCCCTCCTTACAGCATGTCCAGAGAATGTCAGACAAAGCCCCAGAATCCTTGCCTCCAAGGAACAGCCTGGTTTAAACCTCTCCGAGATGAATCTGTTTTCTTGGCAGTCCATGGTACATTCAGTACTCTTCTCCAGCACCACAGCTCAAAGGCATCAATTCTTCTTCTATCCTCCCTAGTCCTAGAGGTACATGGTTTGAATCCACCAGATGCTGTCCTTGAGAAGGAGGGGCAGCCTCCCTCTATACCGGTCAGATCCGATTTGATGGTACACACACAAAAATATAACAAAATTTTAAAAAAATAGTATTTGTTTTCCTTTTGGATATATATATGTTTGACTGTTTTTTTGTTTGTGTTTTACTTTGTTACTCATTTCAGTCTAAAGTGGCATTATAATTAAACTATATAGTCAATGTGATTGCTATTCTTTTAAAATTGTTGGAAGTATCTTTATAATTCTAGCACATGTTTATTTTTTAATAGTTCCATTTATATTTTCTATTTATTGACTACGTTAAACTCTTCATCTATTTTCTTTATTCAGACCACTACTGATAATTAATTTTTCAAACAATGAGCTTAGCTATCTATGTACTTAGTAAAATGATCTTAAAATAATCTTTATAGATAAAAAGAAATCTACATCTTAGTTTAAAGAGAATAACATTTACTAAACTCTGCTTATGTGCCAGTCACCACTCAGAGCTCTCCAGATGAGTTAATTTAACCTAATAACAACTCTTAAGGATCATTGGTCCCTAGGGAGTCCATTGGGATTTTTCACTGTAAAGGTGGCACTTCCCTTGTGTTTCAAATCTACTAGTAGCTCTACAAGAAGAAGATGAGCAGTCACCTGTTGTGTAATTTACCGCCTCCAAGATCAATTTGTTCTAAGATACATTTTTTATATGTAGATGATCAAAATAAGAAACAGAAATGCTTGCCATAAGTCACCTAGTAGATAATGAGACTTCAAACAAACTATAACGCATTTGTTTAGTTGCACACACAGTATTAATGTCTTCTTTTTCATTTTCAGTTACTAGAAAAATTCAAGGAACGTTGGCTCTTCACTGGTTTGTGGAATAATCTAGAGTTGGTGAAAACAGTCATTGTAGAACCACAGGGAGGAGACAAAACTAATTTTGATGAATTATTGCAAGTATATTATGACGCAATTAAATGCAAAGGAGAGAAAGGTAATTGAAAATAATTTCATTTCAACGAAGACTTTTTTTATTATAATGTAAGAAAAGGTTAGTAGTATTAGAATTCTACTTGTTATTTTTCTATTTAAATGTTGTCTTTTATATTTTTAGTGAAAAGAAAATAAGTTACTTTATGTAGAATTGTTCTCTCGTAAATATTTTTATTTTGATAATGTGTAAATAAAGCAAGAACAACATGGGAAAAGCTAAATCCGACCTCTGCTAACTCTGTAAGGGGCAACTGTCCCCATCAACAATATCAACAGTACAAAACTGATGGCCACAAGGTCAGACATGTTCTCCCATAGTCCTGTACCCACTTTCACCATTTCCAACACCAATTTTACTAGTAACTGGTTCTGAAATTTGTTGCATTGACCACACAGACTTTGTAGAACCATACTGATGAGAACCAAAATTTTGAGATTTTGAGATTTGATTGTGGGGTTTATTAGAGAAGTCAATACTTTATAACTTGGGATAGAATGAAGTAACAGCATATAATCAGTAACTGTACAATTCCTCAGTCCAGGCAACATTAACAGACTACAGAAGTTGGCTACTATATGCAATAACCATACAATCCTTCAGTCCTCCATGGCTTCTGATTCAGGTTTGTGTAACAGCATTCCCAAGTTAGAAACCTTCAAATAAACAAGCAGTCTTCTCTAATCAGACTATTGTCACTCTGCCTCTCAGTCCAGACAATTACTGTCATTCTTCAGTAAGCTTGAATAAGACAAGTCGTGCTGCCTCCCCCATGTTGGTCTGTTTCTCCCCTGCTGAGGTTTCATTGCTCTTATGTAGTACCCAGTCTGGGGCTTGGGCAACTGTTGATGACGTAAGCTGACCATGTCAGGCAGACAGAGAGTTGAGGCAGCTGAATTAGGTTAATGTGCTTGTGGGCCAGACAAAGTTGGTTTAAGAAAGCCATTTTAAGCAACACAAAGCCATAGCAGAAGACATACTGCTTCACAATATACTAGTTCTACATAAGAAACATCAAGAATTCAGATGTTATTCCATAGACTTCTTTACATCACTTGTAGTATTTTGTGCAAGAGCCAATCAGAGGATATAGAAATATATCCCTTATTAGCAAAATGAACCCTTTATTTGGTACATGTAATATACGTTATGCCTATATTCTATATTATAAATAAGCTTAAGTTTTCAAAACATAACTGATCCACAACAATAGTTCAATTCAGAACCTTGGAGTAGTGTGAGTAGTTCAGGCACTCATTCAGCTGCTAACCGAAAGATTAGAGGATTGAGTAGTTACAGAGCAATTTGGAAGAAAGAATTAGTGATCTACTTCTGAAAAAACCACTCACTGCAAACTCTATGGAGGGAAGTTAAACTTGGACACTGATGAGGCTGTCGTAAGAAGAAATCTACTAGATGACAACCAGAAACTGGAATATTTAATAGTATTACTGGGTAATACATTTGTCTTAAAAGGATACCTGAGATTAAGCAGAATTTAAGAAGATATGTGGACAGCAACAAACAGAACCCCAGAACACTTGATCATGCTTATGCGAAACCTATACTTGGACCCAGGAGGCAGTCATCAGAACAGAGCAAGTGAACACTGCATGCTTCAAAATTGGGAAGGGTGTATGCCAGGGATGTGTCCTAGCTCCATACTTTCAAGCTTTATGCAGAACAGATTATCTGGGAGGCTGGGCTCTATAAGAAAAATACGGCATCAGGATTGGAGGAAGACTCATCAACATTCTGTGTTATGCAGATGGCAAAACCCTGCTTGCTAAAACTGAGGAGGACCTGAAGCACTTGCTGCAAAAGGTTAAGGATTGCAGCCTTCAATATGGATTGCAGCTCAATATCAAGAAAACAAATATTCTCACTACTAGACCTATTGGCAACATCAGGATGGGTGGTGAAAAGACTGAGATTGTAAACAGCTTTAGTTTTCTTGGCTCCACAGTCCACACTGTTGGCACCAGCAGCCAGGAAATTAAAAGACTTACTGCATTGGGAAAGTCTGTTGTCAAAGACCTCTCCAAAGTACTGAAGAGCAGTGATGTCAGTCTGGAGACTAAGGTATGCCTGATACAGGCTGTGGTCTTTGCAATCACTTGCTATGCATCAGAAAGCTGGATAATGACTAGGGATGATAAAAGAAGAATTGATGTTTTTGAGCTGTGGTGTTGGAGAAGAATATTGAACACACCATGGACTGCTAAGAGAATGAACAGGTTCATCCTGGAGAGGGTTAAACCAGCCTGTTTCTTGGAGGCAAGGATTCTGAAGCTTCATCTCACATACTTTGGACATGTTGCAAGGAGGGACCAGTCCTTGGAGAGGGACGTCATGCTTGGGAGTGTGGAGGGACAGTGCTTGATGTGATAGATTGATTCAGTGACTGGGGTAATGGGAGTAGGTATATCAGAGACAATAAAATTGGCACAGGATAAAGCAGGGTTTAGGGCTATTATACATAGGGTCACTATGAGTCGTAGGCAACTCAACAGAACATAACAACACAACAATAATACACATACTAGTAATTTTAGCAAATATAGAAAATTAAGAAATGATAGATTTTTTTCTTAATTTTAAAATATTTGTTTTCTGTTTAAGATGGTGCACTTTTGGTAGCAGTTTGTCGTGGTAAAGTGAGTGAGGGTTTGGATTTCTCAGATGACAATGCCCGTGCTGTCATAACAGTAGGAATTCCTTTTCCAAATGTGAAAGATCTGCAGGTAAGCCATCAAAACCGTAATACATTTTACTTATCATGAGTGCTGTTAGTTTTTTATTAAATTGATTATATGTTTTCCTTTTACCTCAGACGTTTTATTTTAAATATTTCATTTTTCAGGAAGTGTAAGAAAGATTTGGTAGATTTAGGTTTATGTAATTTCTTTCTTTATACTATCTTTAGCTTGACAGGAATGACTGAAATTTTAGGCCATGGGTCAGAAGTATCGACATCACCAGGAAGCTTGATAGAAAAGCAGATGTTTCAGTCTGTCTAAACACACTGAGTCAGAAAATCTGGAAATGGGCCCCAGCAATTTGTGTTTTATCAAGTTCTTAGTCACAGACTTACAGCGTTTCCCTGAAATTTCACAAGCCATTTTCTACCCAGCTCCCTGCATTGTCCTGAAATTTCAGCTATTCCACAATCTCTTCCATCTCAGCTCAGCAGAACCACTGACTCCTGTAGCCTAGCTCTCTACACTGTCATCAGAAAATGATGCCCAGGAAGAGAACTGAGAATCCTGGCGTTTACCTTAAAAAGGTCCCTGAGCTCTAGGATTGCAGTTCTGTGTAGCCTGGTATCTACTCCCTGAAAGTAGTTGGCTTGTCTGTTTTTTAAAGTTTCATGGTATTTATATTCATAAGTCAGTTATTTTATTCTGGCCACAAATGGAAGTTTTGCCTCATCATCACTTGTCACTAATTATCCCTGGTAATTTTCTGTTATGGTTACTTAATAATCAAATTATTTTCAAAATGACAAGAATAAGCAAATTCTGGAAATTTTTGAATGTGCTTTTAAAAATGCTTATTTTAAAGAAACTTTATGGATCTTTTTTAAAAATTTTTATTAATTTTAATGAACATTTACAGAGATTTTAGATTTCCATTCATTCATTATTACACTTTTTGGAAATAATTTTAAGTCAAAGATAATACTATCTTCCACCAGGCAGGATTTTTTTTTTTTTTTTAATTTTTTCAATTTCTTACAGGCAATTAAAGGCATTAGCAATCTGAGACCAAGACTTGAGGTTTCCAGGTTACTGAATTGGTTCCACAGAGTACAGTCTATATCTCTTCTCCCAGAATTCAACCTTTTAGAGTCTCATACCAGAGCAAGAGTTTTTTCATGAAACAGTTACCTTCTTTACTTGTCAGTATTTTATTAGGCATTATGAGTTATATGATTTTTACTTTTCCTTTCACTAGGCCATTGCAGTTCTTGGGTAGGATTACTATTAACTGTAATGAATAGTATTTTTCTGGTTAACTTCTACATCGCCTATAACTTTAGCTCTCTTCACATGCCCACCACTGTGTGGTCTACTGTTAAAAGGCTAATACTTCTTCTGACTGCTACTAATGCTGGGATCGTTGACATCACTTAAGAAAAATTATTATGTCCACCAGCTACATTCCGGTGAAACTTTGGCTGCTGATTATACTTGCTGTTGGCACTGATGCTGTCTCATCTTTTAACATTATAGGCAGTCCCCAGGTTACAAATACAATCTGTTCTTGTATCTTTAAGAATTTGTTAGGATTTCCAACCTGTCTAATTCAGTCATGACTAAGAAAGAGTCAAAAGTAACTGAATTTTTAAAGTCATAATAAACTGCAAAGATAGCTAGAACAAGAAAAAGAATCAAGGTCTTGTTGAAAGCTTAACCTCCTTACAGAAGAAGAACAGCATACACATTGCAGACTGCAACTTAAATTTTTAGTACAGTCAGCTACAACTCTGCCCTACACAAAGATGGTAGGGCCTGTTCATGCATGACATGCCCCACTCAAACATGACAGCCAGCCATTCTGCCTTGAATCTGAGTTCTGCATGTCTCTCAATAACGTAGTCTCACACATCAAGCTCCTGAAAGGGTTCACCATGAGTCCTTCAAGTCTCTATAATTTTTTTACTGTTCTGAGTCCAACTATGACTCTGCCAAATTGTGGAACTTAAGGTCTGTTCCACTGGTCATGACAGAATTTGTTTAAAAGGGCAAGTAACCCACTGCAGCCCACTTGATTCAGACTGGTCAGATTTCTGAGATGGTAAATCACGATAAGAGGAGACTGCTTTATCTTCTGTGGAGGAACTGGTATCCAGTGGCTGACCTTTGAGTTAGTAGCTCAACACATAGTGTATTGTGCCACCAAGGCAAGTTGTTATTGTTGTTAGCTACCATAGTGTCAACTGTGACTCAGAGCTGCTCTGTGAGCTGCAGTTTGGATGAACCTGCACCATCCTCACATTCTCCTCCATGCTCAGGCTCATTGTAGTCCCTGTGTCATTCCATCCTGTTGAGGAGCTTCCTCTCTGTCACTGACCCTGTACCTATCACAGCATAACGTCTTTTCCCCAGAACCAACCCCTCCTGACAACAGGCCCAAAATATGTGAGACAAGGAGCTCCTTGGTTGCACTTCCTTCAACACAGATTTGTTTGTTTTTTTGACAGTCCATGGTATATTTAATACTTGTTGCTAAGACTGCAATTCAAAGGTGTTGTCTTCCTATTCATTATCTAACATTCAGATGCATATGAAGCAATTGGAAAAAACACCCAACAACCCCAGCATGGAAAGTACAACCCAGGGACTGGCTGTATAATCAACATTATAGAAACCAGGGAGCTTGACTTACTGGTAAAGAGTTTTGCTGCCAACCCAATGGCAAGTGGTTTGAATCCCCAAGCTGCTCCATAGGAGAACGCTGGGCAGTCTCCTCCTATGCAATTTCCAGTCTTTGAAGACATGCTGGAGGGTCAACTATGAGTCGGTTCCAACTCAATGGAACATAACAACTTTACAGAACCAAGGCCTACATCATTATGCTCAATCTGCTTTGTTAAAGAGAATCTGTTTCCCTCTCTACCATACTCAGTTGCATTGTTTTCCAGTGTCTTCTGTTTTGTTCCACACCTTACTTCAAATAAGCTCTTTCAGTGTTTTGTTTGTATCATCTTTATTTCACAGACCTACCTACAAGAAATGAAAAACTGAAAAATGCCTAAATACTATAAAGACTCAAAAAGATTCGTATCAAAACTGTAGTGGCTATTAAGAAGGGTCTAATATTATTACAAGTAATTACCAATAGGGAATAACTGGGAACTTTCGCCATAATGTCTTTAAAATTTTCTTAAGTGTTAAGGAAATACAAATGTTTATTATTTCTTGTCACGAATTTGTTTTTTAAATCATTAGAAAAAAATTTTTAAATGTTGCTTATAAAGAGAAAAGTCACTTGTATTTTCTCCAACTCTATAAAGCTACAGTGATTCTGGACATTGTTAGTATGCTAAGCTTAAGTTTGCAGTTTGAGGCCACCAGCTGCTCCATGGAGGGGAGGATGGGCAGTCTTGTCCTGTGCCATTGATAACTGCCTCTGAAAACCCACTGGAGGATCAGCTATCGGTCGGTTCTGACTGTACGGTATACAACAAGAAGTTCTTAATGCTTTCTTTCCTCAGGATAGCTTTTACTCAGACAGCACTTTATTCTGTCATATTAAAAAAAGAACCTCGATGGACTACTCTGATATTCCATGGTCTTACTTGTCACTATATCTGAATGACAGTGGTTGAACAGCAAAGTAACAAATATCAAGGTGTTCTGGAAGGGGAGGAGAGTTGATTCATATCAACTGATGCAATAGTTGGCCCCAGACCTTTTCCTATCTTTAATTTTTTTAATTGTACCATTTTACAATCCCACCAACAGTGTATGAGAGTTCCAATCTCTTCACATCCTCTCAAAAAATGTATTGCTTATTGTCCTGTTAAACTTTGCTGCTGCTATTGGGCTGAGATGGTATCTCGTTGTGGTTTTGATTTGCTTCTCTCTTATTGCCAGTGATTTTGAGCATTTCTTCCTGTGTCTCTTGGCCACCTGAATGTCTTTCTCTGTGAAAAGTCTTTCTTTTCTATATCGTTGGTCCATTTTTGTAAATAGGTTATCAGTCTTTTTCTTGTGAAGGCCCTCTAGTATGCGGTAAACTTTAGTTGTGAGACGCTTGTCTGAGATGTCATCTGCAAATGTTTTTTCCTAGTCGCTAGGGTTTTTGTTTGTTTGTTTGTTTTACCTATTGGAAAAAGTTTTTGATGCACACAAAGACTTACTCTTGAAAAGGTCCTACTCATCGATGTTCTCTTCCCCTGGTTGTGTATCCTTTCCTACTTTTAATTAAGAAAAAAAAAGGCCTATGGTGTTCTACATTATTTGTACTTTATTCTGTTTAAAAATGCATACTACATCACATTCATTGTATTATATTTTAGTGATTAGAAATGTTTTCTAATTTGTTGTTATTGTGTACAGTCAAGTCAAGAGCTGACCCATAGTTGACCGTCCAGTGGATTTTCAGAGGCAGTTAATGACACAGGAAGAGATTATCCATCCTTCTCCCATGCAACAACTGGGATTTGAACCACGTGCCTTTGGGATTGCAGTGCAGCATCTTACCACTAGGCCACCAGTGAACACTAAGAGGGTGGTAGTAAACATTAATATGATTTCTAATGAGATAGTGATCTCTAGTACCTAGTTGTAAGGAGCTGCACTACAAACCCAAAGGCATGTGGTTCAAATCCTCTAGCTGCTCTGAGGGAGAAAGATGGGCAATCTCCTGTCGTGTGATTTACTGCCTCTGAAAGCTGACTGGAGGGTCAGCTATGAGTTGCTTCTAGCTCTACAGCATATAATAGCAAGATAGTACCATATCTTGTTAGTCATAAATTGTTTAAAAAGAAATCGTGGCTCAAACCTAAAGGGCTTCTAATATGTAGGAGAACAATATAAAGAGTAAGCATATCTTAGGTTATAATAGTTGTCACTTTTGAATTTTCTATTGCAATGTAACAAGTTTAACATTGGCTTTAAAAAGCACACATTTATTATCTCATGTTTTCCATGGCTTAGCAATGTCCTCTGCTCAGGGTTTTACAAAGCTGCAGTCAGGCTTTGATCTCATTGTACTCTCATCGGGAACCTGGGTC